TGATTCTCCCCTGTGAAAGCTTTCTGGAACACCAGGATCTTTTGAAATTTAACTGGAGTACAGATAAAACATGCAAACATTATTGTCACTTTTCATTACCCTATTGCATTGCAATATTGGAATTTGTCCCTCCTGCCAGGAAGAGGCAAATTAATCTTGTCCCTCCATCATCAAAATGCCACAGAAATTTAGTGGATTAGCACATTAAGGTTCCCTTGGATCAGGTTCTTTGCTATTAGCTGAAAAGCTCCAGTTATTCTCAGTTTATAAATGATTAAGTTTAACCAAAACTGAGGGTCAAGACCTCATATAGCTATGAACTTCATTTCCTAGTTTTACAGTACAATAATACATTATAAATGGGCCTGTTACTTCCCCAAAAGCTTATAATCTACCTTCTAGTCAGACAAACACTTCATAAGCATTATGTGCTATGCTGATTTTAAGGAAAGGCTTTAACAAAGATCTCATTTTTTTTATGTGTAATGACAGTTGTTCAGAAAATATAGAGTGTCAAGAGATGTTTCCTTATGCCCTTTCTTACCGAGCTGACTGTTGTTAGACAGATCAAATTTGCCTATTTCCAAAAAGCGACCATGTCGAGCAAGACAACGCAAACTGGCTTGAAGCTTCTCTTCTGCCAAGGAATTCAGCACAAGGTTAACACCTGCAAAGAAAAGAGAAGTAAAATTAACTCAATTTGCTAAATGTTTAACCCTGTTGTCTACTGACTCATTTTGTCTTTGGAAAAATGCAACTGTGCAATGTAATGGCTGGCAAAAGTCAGAAGCAAAAATGTTCCCTGAACTTACCTTTTCCATTGGTAACTCGCAGTATGTGTTGCTCAAAGGTAGTATTTCGGGAGCTAGAAAAGCTATTAGCATCCAGCTGTGGGAATCTTGCTTGGAGATATTCACGTTTCTCAGCAGAGCCTGGGAGTAAAAGACAGGCTTTGTCTTCAATGATGACAGTATTTTTTGTTCCTTTTTACTAATACATCACATTTTCATCTTTGAGGACTTGGGAAAGATGTGGTGTCTGAGAAACCACAAAGCAGTGGCTTCAAAGCTCTCAGATCTTTGTCCTAAGGCATGAAATCTTAGGATAAAGGCTGTTCTAACAGTTACTGCTTGCTTAAGTGAGACAGCAAAGACCAGAGACAAATGAAACCTTACAACGGATAGATGTGCTTTCATCACATAAGCCAATTTAACAAGAGGCAGTCTTGATTTTCTCTCATACTTCGGAATAACATACAGAAGATAGATGTTTGTTAGTAGTTTAAGTAGGCAGCAGCTGTATTTGTCATATATCTTGTTGCTGTCCAACTAGAAACTAGATCAAGGTTATAGGAAATCATACTGGTGAAAAATTATATACCCAGACTTTCCATAAAACAGGACCTTGGCACTCACCCACAGTAGCAAAGACACGGCAGCCCATGCTCAGGGCAATGGCAATAGCTGCTTGGCCCACACCTCCTGAACCAGAGTGAATGAGGATGCTCTCACCCTTCTTCATACCACCTCGAACCACCAAAGCATAATAAGCAGTGGCATAAACCACAGGTACTGAAGCTGCTTCTTCTAGAGTCCTAAGAGAAGTGAAAAGAAGAAAGGCTACTAGATTCTTCTGATAAAGTTTGCTTTTCTGCCCTGGAAAGGTGAAACTGCTGAGATGGACCAAAAAGTATGAACAGTTTTGAATGAGAAAACAAACTATCACAGCTGCTGATCATAGCCAAGAACTTAATCCTTCTGCATAAATGTTTCAGCAGCTACTCAATAACATAGTAAATATGAAAATTCCTGCCCATACTGAAAAACGTGGGACAAACAGCCCAAAAGAGACACTGCACAGAAAAGTGCTTAAATTA